AGGAAAGCCCATCAGAATCACAGCAGACTTCTCAATGCAAACCCTCAAGGCAAGAAGAGCTTGGAGTGATGTATTTCAAGCCCTAAAGGAAAACAAATCAGTTTCATGTTAAGAAAAGTGCTTCAAGATTGAAGATTCCAAGATTTTTTAAAAAACACACACACATATTTTTACATATGTATATTCCTATTATCAAAGATCAGAAGAGAAGTTACCTGATGGTTTCTTCATGATATAGAGAACTAACAACAGGCCCACCAAAACCACTTTTTGCTTCTTTTCCTTTCTTCTCTGATGTCTGTGAGAGAAAAAAAAAAGATGGAAAAAAGTCATATGGATTAAAGCAATCAATATATTAAAGTCATATGTATGTGTGCCAGTTATAAAATATTACTTATAAAACATTTTACACCAAAACTTTTACTGTCAACCACTCCTTCAAACCCTGGTAACAATTTTAAAATGGTACCAGAAAGGTAACATGACTCTCAGGTTATCACAGTAGCAGATTGGGTACCCACCAGTAATCTAAGGTCATTCCAGTGCCACTTATTGGAGTCACCTGAAAGCAATTCCCTTAGCTGTCTGTGAAATGATATTCAATGTGGTAAACATGGGTGTTTGTGTGAAAACATGAAAATGAAATGTAAAATATAAATATTGGGCATGAATGTGATCAAAAAAATCACATTTAGATTTATAAAGTTAAAGTTGCCAATTAAGAAATAAACTATAGTAAAATTTCAAATTCAATCACAGAGAAAAGAAAATATTTTTAGGTAGAAAGAAGAAAGGGGAGAAGGAAGAAGAGAGAGAGAAGAAAGTTTAGATCTAAAATAAAAGAAAATCTGGGATGGGGAGCAGAGAACGAGGAGAACAGGAAGTAAAAATGATTAAGATGCAATATATGTATGTATCAATTATCCAATATGAATATATATATGTATCACAAACATATTTCAATAAATAAAAGAGAAAAAAGGCAAACTGTGGTGGAAACATTATCCAAAATCAAGGATTCAATAGCCCCTGCCTTTTGATCTCAAAAAACACAAGAGTAAGATTTAGAAATAAGATCCTCCTAAAACATATAATGTGGAAGCAATAAATCTGAATGCATTGTCTGAAACTACAACCTCTGCAAAAGTCCACATTTATGAAATAATGAATTTTTTGGCTAGGATACCCTGTAAAAGTAAAAACTCTGAACATAAATATTACTTTAGAATAAAAATTATTTTATTGCTTGATTGCAAAAAGACTAGCTTTTCAAAAAATACGGCAGACCCAACACACATTTTCCCCCTGTGCTTTAAAAGATTTTTTTTCTTTCTTTTTTTTGGGGGGTGGTGGTGGTACTGGGGATCAAACGCAGGACCTTGTGCTTGTGAGGCAGGTGCAGCACCACTGAGCTAAATCCCAGACCCTTTTCTTTTTCTTTCTTTTCTTTTTTTTTTTGGTACCAGGGATTGAACTCAGGACCTTGCGCTTTTGAGGCAGGCAGTGGAACCACTGAGCTAAATCCTCAGCCTTTTCATTTTTATTAGTACATATTTACATTCATTGTGGGGAGTTGATACATGCACATAACACATCTTACTTCTTTTTACATCCTCCTCCTCCTCTCTCTCCATCTCTTGTTCCCATGTTTGTTTTTTGCAAAAGATCCATCTCCCTGTTCACTATTATCTATTATTTGTCTCTTTAAATTATGTATACTTGGGTTTCACATATAAGAGAAACCATGTGCTATTTGTGTATCTGATTTATTTCACTTAAACTTATTATCTCAAGGTGTATCCATTTTCCTACAAATGACTTAAATTTATCCTTCTTTATGGCAGAGTAGTACTTCACTGTGTATCAATACATTTTCTTTACCCATTCATCTGCTGATAGACATATAGGCCACTTCCAAGATTTAGCTATTACAAGTCATGCTGATTAGAAACACAGATATGAATGTATCACTGTAATATGATGTTTTAAATTCTTTTCAGGAAGATCCCTAGAAGTGGAATAGCTGGGTCAAATGGAATTTCTTGTTTAGTTTTTTGAGGAATCTCCACACTAATTTCCACAGAGGTTGTACTAGTTTATATTCCCATTAGCAATGTAGAAGGGTTCCTTTTTCCCCACAGCCTTGAGAGCATTTGTTATTAGTCAATTTCTTGACGATAGCTATTCTTTCAGAGTAAGATGGAATTCAGTATTGTTTTAATTTATACTTCTTTAATGGCCAGAGATATTGAATGTTTTTCATATATTTATTTGCCACCTGTACGTCTTCTGAGAAGTGTCTATTCATTTTAAATGTCCAGTTTTTGATTGAGTCTTTCATTTAAGGAGGTTTAATTTTTTTGAGTTCTATATATATGTGAGATATTAGTCCTCAATCCAAAGTGTAGCTGGCAAATTTTCCCATTTTGTAGGTTGCCTTTTTACTCTGTTGGTTGTTTCCTTTGTTGTGCAGGAGCTTTTCAATTTGATATGATCCCATTTGTTGGTTCTTGTGCAACTAAGATTGTGTTTAGATAGTCCTTGCCTATGCCTATGTCTTCAAGAGTTTTTACCTACTTTACGTTTCACCAGATTCAGTGTTTCTGTTAAAACATTAAATCTTTGATCCATTTTGATTTTAGTTTAGTACATGGTGAAATATATTGGTCTAGATTCAATCTTCTGGATGTGGAAAGGCAGTTTTCCCACCATTTCTTAAAGAGGCTATCTTTCCTCCAGCATGTTTTTGGCCCCTTTGTCAAAGATGAGATGGCTGAAGGTGCCTAGGGTTGTTTCTGCATCCTCTATTCTGTCCTTTAAAGAACGGAATTTGTTTTATTGTTACTGCTTTTAAAAAAATACTTAGTTTTGATCTGTGGACCACTGTATTGAGGAAAACATTAGAGCATATTCTACCAGTTATTGAGAGAAATAACTACCAGTTATTGAGAGAATTAAGGTTTCAAGAAATAGAAATTTTTGAGAAGAGGAATCAAATCAATTATCAATTTATGACAGTTACAAAACCATAAAGAACTAAACATGATTAAATAACAAAGTATATGAAGAACACTAGTTTGATGCTGGCCAGAGCCAGATCATTGGCCTCTGAGGGCCATTCTTAGAAAATAAATGATGCTAAGAACTCTGAGATAGAGAATGCTTTTCTTTACACTAAGAAATGTATTATCAAAGTCAGAATTTATTTCACTTAATCCAATTATATTTCAATGCTTTACATGCTTTATTGGTAGGGTAAAGTTGAAACACTGGTAGGCTAGTTGAAACATACTTGTTCAAGAGATGCTTATAAAATGAATGAATAAAACTGAATATGAGAAAACTTACAACTAAGGAAAAGAGAAATAGAGATAGAACCAAGAGTATAGTAAGTACAGCTTCTTTAAAAAAACTCATTCATACAAAATAATATAAAAGAAAATCCACCTGGCCTTAGGTAGGACATTTATTTACATACAATACCAAAAGCATGATTGGTTAAAAAAATGTTGGTTAACTAGTCTTTATTAAAGTTCTAAAAATTCTCTCTGTGAAAGACATTGATCACACAACAAAGTCACAGGGCACAGATTGAAAGCAAATCTTTGCAAAACACATATCTAATAAATGACAATATCTAAACTATTCAAAGAATCCTTAAAATTCAACAATAAGAAAATAAGATACACAATTTAAAAATGAGTAAAAGATCTGAACAGATATCTTACCAATGAAGATATATACATAGAAAATAAGCAAATAAAAAGATGCCCAATATCAAAGAACTTAGAAATCATCACTCAATAGGGAAATGCAAACTAAACAACCGTGAGGAACAACTGTATGTCTATTAGAATACATCTTTCATCAGACAAGTGGATAAACAAATGGTATACACATAAGACAGAATGTTACTCAGCAATAAAAATGAGCTATTCTAGATTAAGAAAAAAGAAACAAGAAGCAAGTAACTAATACAAAGGCCAAGAAACAGTAACCATTTGTCACATTTACACTGTTGATTTAGAAGAGGGCAAATTTTCCCTGTACTTATGTCTAACTACATGGGTCATATTTCAGGAAAAATGGTAGAGAATATTATTTGTGTTTAAGTGAGGAATATGCCTATGTATATGATATTCAGGAAGAGCACTTTTATGACAAGAATGGACCTAGCTTGTCACTCATTTACCTGTGCTGCCTGTCCTACAGGCATTTGAGCTGTGACTGTTTAGCTTCAGCCAAGACACCAATCCCTCTGAAAAGCCCTCGTGGTCCTCCAAGCCTGAGCCAGGTGCCTCTCCCTAGGCTCCCAGAGCACCTTCAGCAGCCCTCACAAGAGTGCTTATCACACTGCAGTATGGCTACTGTCTCCAACACCAGTTCCTCCAAGCTCCATGAGGACAGGATGGTTAGCATTTTTCTCACTGCAGTTCCTGGCTTAACCTGGGGCATGCACATAACAGGTATTCAGTGACCATCTTTTGAATGAACAGGGACATATTCTATGATCTGCCCCTCTTCAAGCAAGTCATTCATTTTTATACAGTAATTCAATGCTGTGCACACAGATTTAAATTTCAAAGGTGTCTAACAAAGGTTCAATGAGGGAATAACAGATTATTAGGAAGCAGCTACTATCGTGAAAAAAGGTTGATTTGGGTACAAATCCTGGTGCTGGCCATGTAGCCTTGGGTGACTTTTTTTGAGGCTGAGTTTCTTCATCTCAACAGAACACAATAGTGAGTTAAAAGTGTGCCCTACAGTGCCCAACACAAACAGGGAGTCCAACATATGTTCTCATGATTATAGCACTATTCTTTACTGTTCAGGGAGTGAAGGACTATGTATATTGTAGGTGGACCTCAAATTTCTGATGCATCTAAGACCAGTCCTTGATTTCCAGTTTGGTGATGTTGTTGTTAAGGACAAAAGTGATGATTTCCAAGTTCTTTACATGTCAGAGCTGAAACTAGAAGTTCACTTATCTTTTAAAGAGATTTAAAGATGAAGAGAGAAAAAGCCTTTTATTGCCACCCACATAATTAGCACTTCTAATATTCTCCATTCTTTAGTGTAAGTCTAAACTTTTATCTAATTTTCCTTTCATTTGAAAAAGTTCCTTTCACATTTACTGTACTACAAGTCAACTGGCAAAGAATAATCTCTGCTTTGTTTGTCTGGGGAAAAAAGGTCTTTAGCTTGCTCTAACTTTTGTCTGTATTGACATGAGATTCATATAACCTAAAATTAACCACTTTAAAGTGTACAAATGGGTGGCACTTAATATATTCACAA